TTTACAAATACAACAACCCCACAATACCCCATAGACAATAGACAATTTTAGCTCACATAATGACCAATGACCAAGATGCAGAATCAGAAGATGTTTCTAAGGAAGAAAATGTAATAGAACTAACTGAAAAAGAATTCAAAAGAATGATAACTAGGATACTGAGACAGGTGTGAATGATCTAAATGAGACAGAGGTAAATATTGATGCATGCTCAACCTTGGAACATCAGGGCTCTGTGATACAGGAATCGAGGCATAGTCTGAAGAGGGGAAATAATACTAAGATGCTTGTCTAGCTTATGTATATTGGTGTTTCTTGCCTACTATTGTAAAATAGACACTTGAGTGGGATAGAAAGGAATGTTGGGAAACATGATTACAGAAAGGTTATAAGCCCATCTTCAGCCTATAACTGATTGGAATACCTAAAAAGGTTTCTACAATTTGCCCAATGAAATAGGCCTCTTGAGGAGCCTTTGCAGTGTGTAGGACCTTAGGTGGAATGCTGAGCCCTATCCAGAACCTTCTAAAGTGAGACATTCCCACTAGAAAGGACAAGCAGCCTAAACAGCTAGAGCAACAAAAGATATATCTTCAAAGAAAGATCATCAGGAAAAAAACAAAACAAAAATGACAATATGATTGGCTACTCCAACAATAAGCAAGTTGTTCATTGTGAAGCAATCAAGTCCCTTCAGGACAAACCCCTCTAAGACTGAAACTCAAAAGGAACACATAAGCAGGCATGTAAGCTTTCTGGCGACCACATTGGTCTACTTGTGAGTGAAAGAAGGGGAAAGGCAGCAATGAAGAAATGGGCTGAATTCAACTATGTTATATAGACTCCTGTAGACCTGGAGATAAGAGAGAAGAGGAAAGGCTGGTTGGCCCAAAGTGTGGTGAGACCTGGGGACACCTAAGCCCGTGGACAAGGATATAGTTACAGAGGGCTAGAGCTGAAAGTGAAGCATCCAGCTGATATGAAGTGAGGGGAGACGCACAAGAATATCCAAACTTGCAGACAGTACCCATTTGACCTAGCCTTGATGGCTTGATAATCAGAACTCGACTAGAGGAAAATAAAAAAGAAAACAATTTTTGATAAAGGAAACAAGGATAAATTGCTACAATTTGATGAACTTGACCTATACTCATGGAGGTAGTAGCTCAAAATACCAACAGAGAGGGAAAGAGTCTTCACATCAAGTATCAATGCTATCTACACAGGGTAGATAGGGATGGGCAACTTAGACATTGGCTACATAAAATGAAGGGGTGATAAAAGCACGAAATAACTGGCTTACAAGTTTTCAAGAGGGAGCTTAGTTTAAGAGTGTGTGGGAAAGATAGAGTTCCCTCTGAATCATTTTCTTCTTGTCTAGATGGGTCTGGTAAAAAGAGATGGGGATAAGATTCATATGATTCAATAGGAAGTCATTTTTGTCATGACTAATGGTGATGGCCACAATTATAAAGGTAGAAGTTTTATAACAAAAATGGGAGAGTAGTTAATCTTACAGTCTAGAAACAGAGGACCCTAGGACCATCAAGGAAGAAGAGCACAAGAAGAATGTGGGACCTTATCCAGAGAAGCAGCTACACCAGAGATGGAGGCAGAAATAGGGACATGGAGAGAGGGAGAAGCTGAGGACTCTAGACTCATGGAAAGACAGGGAATGAGAGCTGGTGGCCAGGAGGCAGACTTGCAGAATGTGCCCTTTGGTGGTTTAAATTATTATATATGCCTGAGTGTTTAAAAAAAAAAGCTAAAATAAATAGAGAGAAATACTGTTAATTGATGGTACATGGAGGGGATTATAATCATTGTAATGAAACAAAGTATATGATTTGTTGAATGTAAAACTGATGGTCTGCCCTGTAAAATTCACTCATTTCACAATAAAAACCTTAAAAAAAAGAATGATAACTAGGTACATTCAGATGATCAATAGAAAGCTCAAGGAAAGCAAGGGGGACACAGTAAAATCTTTAGAAAAATTCAGGAAAACACTACAAGAACAAACAAACAAAATGAATCCAGAGTTTGAAACACTACAAAACCTGAAATTAGAAATCCAGAAGATTAATGCTAAGTATCTCAGAAGTCCCAGAGTCCTGGTATGGAAGGAGGATCGTCATGGTTTCAAAGGGTGGGCCATGATCTCTTGGATCTTAGAAGGTAGGGCCCCCTAGACTTCAAAGAATTGGATCTTCACCAGTGTGGAGACTGCCATGACCAAGGGGTAGGAGAATGTGGTCTGCCAGCTCTGAGGGGGTAGGTTCACCACTCAGATGGACTAGGAGAATGGGACCACCCAAAACCAAGGCAGCACAACTGTTGTCCCAGTGGGCCTGGAAGGTGGGGCTGAGATCCCGAGAGAAAGGGAAACTCTTTCCCCAAAGTTGGCACTCTGAATTGGAACGTCTAGCCTCCTAATCTGTGAGAAAATAAATTTGTTGATAAAGCCACCCACTTGTATTTCTGTTATTGTTGTTGTTGTTAAGTGCCATCGAGTCGGTTCCCACCCATAGCGACCCTGAACAGGGTTTCCGAGGCTGTGAATCTTTACGGGAGCAGAAAGCCTCATCTTTCTCCCGTGGAACAGCTGGTAGTTTCAAACTGCTGACCTTGAGGTTTGCAGCCCAATTCGTAACCACTTCACTACAAGTACTAGATAACTAAGACACTGTCCAAAGTGACTGGTACCTGCTTCCTGGACTAGTTGGGAGGAAAAAAAAATGGCAGACTAGAGACTTCTTCACCAAGGACAGGGCCAGGGGATTAGGATGCTTGCAAAGGACTTGGGTGAATCTTCTATATTTTGTCATAAAATGAAAAAATGGACAGAACTCTGTCAGCATATTCAATACACCTTTGTTTATGTATTTATCACTTGTAGTTTTAACTACTTGAAATAGACCATTATGGCCTGTGATAGAAGTAATTCAGAAACTCACAATGGTGCAAACTGAGCAGTGAAACAGAGAGTAATTAGGGACTGAGCATAGCTGAGTCTTCAGCTTCCAAATCTCATCGTGACTTTATTTCTATCGGTCCTTGTAAAGGCAGTCACTCTGATGAAGTTGTATTATATAGCCTTTTGTGTTTTACTGGGAGTCCTGGTGTGGCTTTGTAGGATAAGTTCTGGACTGCAAGGTCAGTTTGAACTGCAGGGTCAGCAGTTTAAACTTACCAGCCGCTGTGAAACGCTATGCACGCTAGCTATGAGTCAGAAGTGACTCGATGGCACTTAACAACAGCAACAAGGAGTCCTTGGGAGGCACAAATGGCTAAGCACTCAACTACAAGCTGAAAGGTTGGTGATTGTAATACACTCAGAGGCACCTTGGAAGAAAGGCCATGATCTGCTGCTTCAGAAAGTTCACAGACCTTGGGAACCCATGGAGCAGTTCTACTCTGCAATACATTGTCATGAGTTGGAATTGCGTCTCCAACAACTGGTTTGGTTTTTATGCTTTACTAGGAGTCCTGGTGTGGGGCTGTAGGGTAAGCACTGGATTGCTTATCATAAGGTTGGCAGTTCAAATCCATCAGCTAGCTATTCCTTGGAAACCCTATACAGCAACATTCTGGCCATACATGAATGGTATTGCAGATTTGAAGATTTGTGAAAGGCTCAACACAAAGTCTCCATAAACAAAACATACGAATCCACTATCATTTAGATTTGAACTTTTTCAGATGTACACCTGAGACCAGGGCTCATGTACAACTGTGCAAGTGGTGCCCTGCACACTTTTGGGGGCACCATTCATACAGACTGTGGTGTATTTGTGTCACACAGCAGCAACCCTCTGAAAACACATTTGTGCTTTTAAGTTTAAAAAGTAAAAATTCAAGAGTCATTGGTATATCCGTCACATTCTTTTTCACTCTTAACTAAATCCACAGACTCTTGTGTTTTTCAGTAAGAGTAGTTAGTATCTGGTATGGGGTGTGTCCGGATTTTAATCAAAGCCTAAAGTTCAGGCTCAGATTCACCAGTACCTGTTTTCCAGACCTAAGGGAAATGTGAGATTCTGTTTCATCGCTAGTGAAACAGAAATGATGACAAGATGTACTTCAGCCAGCTGAGTTTAGAACTTTGCAGATGCTGTTAACATTGGGAGGTCCTGCCCAGGCTCCAGCTTCAAGGTTTGCTACCTTATGGCCAATGGGAGAGTCCCATGGGCAGGATCAGGAAGACGTAGGTTACAACACAGTGTTTATGCAACAAGGGGGATGGCTCCCAATCTCTATGACCCCACGATGGTAGGACCCCGGGACCCCTGAACATGGGAGTCTACCTAAATTTTACTTGTTTTTAAATGTTGTTATAACATATATATAGTTGTTGTTGTTGTTAAGTGCTGTTGAATTGGTTCCCCATAGCAACCCTGTATGGGGTTTCCCAGGAGCGGCTTGTGAGCTTGAATCGCCTACATTGTGGTTCAAACTGATTTGCAGTCTAGCGTATTAACCCACAGTGTCACACCAGGATTCCGTATAGCCATTAATTAATTTCTTGGACCCAAATCCTCATTATTCAGGGTTCCTTGTGTACATACATAGCCTTATGTTTATATCCAGAACATAAAAACAAAACACACCCTTGACCTCATGATTTTTATGGCTACATCTGTTTCACTTAATAACTGTTAACTGAACAATCACAGTGTAGTTTTAAAGAGTAGGAAAATGAAAACTTAAAAAACCCTCCTCAGAGCACATTTTGTGTTACTTTTCAAAACCATGATGCATGCTAAAATACACATTCCTTAGGAGTACATAAATAGGGAAACAGAAAGATTGGTAAAGTTACATTTCATACCTTGGTTTTAAAAAACATATGCTGACAATTTTTTTTAACGAATTCACAACATTCCAACCACTCTTCTCATTTTTCTTAATAAACATCAATAGCCCCCCCCCCCCCCTTTCAGTTCTGGTTCTCTCTGTTTCAGTACTGTGGGATGGGGTGATATGCACTGATGGGCTGGTTATACTGTTGTCTTTACGTTGGCAGTGGACTCTGTGTAGCCAGGTGTGTCTCCTCCAGTGTTTCCCCCAGTGTCCTCTCCACTGTCTCTGCTTCTGCAGAACCCTCTCTGTCTGAACTGACTGGAAAGCAGCAGTTTATAGGCCGCTGTTCTGTACTTCTTTGAAATGAGATTGTAGAGGATTGGGTTGATGGATGCACTCAAATAGAAAAGTTGCAAAGCAATTATGTTGAAATATTGAGAGAAGTACATCATCCGGGTATCATCTGTATTTACATAAATGATTCTGCCAACGTGGAAAGGCAACCAGCAAACTACAAATGCCAGAACCACCACCACTGCAAAACAAAACACAAGCACCAGAATTAGCAAAATCATGCAGAAAAAAGGACGGTCCTAGGAAACACCTGAAGTAATAACTAACAGCCAAATTGCTAAGCTAGAACTTTACCTAACTAAGTTTCCACCCCAGAAAAACTACTGGGCTGCAGACTACATTATTAATTATCAGTCTCATTTATGTACTCTCAAAACTGGACATAAACCAGAACGAGTAACTTCTACAAACAAGCTGTTCTGTCAGGCTTCCTCCATAAACCAACTGCAGAGACCTGCCTCTGATCAACGTTGAAAAGAATTCGGCAGCTGGTCTGCACAATCTTTTACTTTTTGATATGGGCATGGTTCACTTCAGTCTTTGAAATTATTTAACATAAAGTAAAAATGTTTTAATGTAATCTGCTCTGTCTTCTCAACGGTACGACGAGTAATCCACGTCTCTGGCATTTAACAGACAGTTGGACTAAGAGCCCCCAATGATCATCATGCATCAATCAGCCTGACTCATAAGGACTTTTTTGGGAAATTATTGCTATTTCCTGAAACCTGAGAATTCTATTGTCAGGGGCGCTGAGGCGTAATCCTGAGCTCCCAGGGCACAGGAGATAGCTTTCTCTGGAGGCAGGGCGTACAGATGCACAAAGGAATAGGTGTGGGCAGCCAGGGGACCAGGACACAAGTCTGTTTGTGTGGCACCGCTCAGCAGAGGGCTGGGTGTGTTTGGAATACAGGTTATGCCACTTACGCAGGATGCGGACTGTCTGCCGATGGCCCTTCTCCCGACGGGAGGCGGCCGGGCCTCCCAGCGGCCCCTGGTTCCTCCACAACTCCCGCCCGATGAGCCCGTAGAGGACGCTAAGGCATAGGAAGGGCAGGAAAAAGTAGGCAGTGGTTACCCACAGCATGACGCGCAGCGCGCCCAGCCTCGCGGGGATAGGCCGGCACTCGCGGCTGAAGAGCGCCGCGGCTGCCATGGCTTCGGGCCTCGACGGCAGGGGCAGGGATGGCGACCACACAGGATCTGGAGGCGAGGCGGGGGACAAGGAAGTGACTTGTGCGGTGCCATTCAGGTTTGGGACCAAGAAGATGACTGGGTCCTGCTCGACGCCCACCAGAAAGAGGAAAGGCCCCGCCGACAGCAGTGCCACTGCCCAGAGCGCGGCGATGAGCATGCGGACACGGCTCCGGGTAACCAGGACGCGAGCGCGGAGCGGGCGGCAGATGGCGAGGTAGCGCTCGACGCTGAGCGCCGTCATGTGTAGCAGCGTGGCGTAGGTGCAGCCTTCGCCCACATAGAGCGAAAGCCGGCAGAGCAGCGGCCCGAAGACCCAAGGCCGCGAGTGCCAGAGGCGATACAGGTCGAAGGGAAGGCCGAGCAGGATGAGCAGGTCGGACACGGCCATGCTACCCAGGTACAGGTTGATGGTGGTCCGCATATCCCGGTAGCGTCCAATAAGCAGCACTGTCACCACGTTGCCGCTCACCCCGACGACGAACAGACCCAGGCACATAGCCGTTACCGGCACTAGCGCCCCCAGGGGGAAAAAGGAGCAGCGGCGCTCGTCACACTGCTGCATCCCCGGCCCCCGCAGCCCACCGTCGCTGTTGTTCCAGGGGCCACCCATGGGAGCACAGCGCGGGCCCAGTGCACCAGCGCGCTAATCCCGCTTCCCCACCTCGTCCCTGGGGGATTTGGGAACCTGGCGCATAGCCCCACTCGCCAAATGCTGCCTGGCAGACCCCGAGCGAAGACAGCACGACGGAGGAGAGCACTTGGAGCAGCAGCACGGATGTCTCCGCCGAGCCCTGCAGCGCCTTGGCATGGGACCGCAGCTCTGAGGGTCGGCTTTCTAGGCGCCCAGGCTCCGCCCCCACCGGCCGCCCCGCCCTGCCAGCCCAAGCTCGCTGTACCTGCGGCGCAGCTCTCCTCCCGCCGGAGTTAGGGGATCGCAGCGGCACACAAGTCCGGCCCGTCTCAGGAAGCCATTTCTGACCCTGGCGAGGTTGGTTTCTAGACCCAGCCTTTCAAATGTTGGAAACAGAGGGGAAGGGCAGGGGACCTCAGGCGGTGACTGAGCCAAGACGGGTAAGGAAGGCTCCCCAAAGATCGCCAGAAGCTGTCAAACTCAAGGGCGGGAGGGGAGTCTGGACTCGATTCCTTTGGATTCAAGTACTGTCAGTGCAACCGAGTAAGTAGCCGTGTCTGTGACACCTGGGTTCGTTCCCAGCCCCGCCAAGCTTTGTTCTCCTTTATGTAAACTCCAGAGTGTTTTCAGGGACTTATTTCTCCGACCTCTTACAACTCCAATCTTTTTACTTGACTGACCATGTTTACTTTTATCTTAAACAACAATGCTTTTTACGTGGACATCTGAGCACATTCATATATAGCAAACTCTTTCTGTGTATGAAATATTTTATAAACTTGTAACACCAGACCCTTTGCCAACATCACAGAAAGTGAAACGTTAGGGGAAAGTGACACTGGTTGAAGAATCAGCTCATCTTGATCTTGTTGACAAAATCGAAACTCAAAATCAGCTCTCATCAAGTGGATTTTGACTCCTGGCGACCCTGTATTCCCCACTGCCACCGAGTTGATTCTAACTTATAGCAACCCTATGTAGGAGTCCTGCTGTGGCGCTGTGGGTTGCGATGCACTGGACTGCAAAGTTCGTTTGAGTTTCAGGGTCGGTGGTTCTAGCTCACCAGCAGCTCCTCGAAACCCTATACAGGGTCGCTCTGGGTTGGAACCAACTCGATGGCACTTAACAACAACAATGTAGGGTTTCCTAGGCTGTAAATCTTTACGGTAACAGAAAGCCTCTTCTTTCTTCCACTGAGCCGCTAGTAGATTGGAACTGCTGATCTCATGCCCTTGTTGTTGTTGTTAGGTGCTATCAAGTCGATACTGACTCATAGCAACCTTATGCACAGCAGAACGAAACACTGCCCGATCCTGGGCCAACCTCACTACTGTTGCCACGCTTGAGTCCATCGATGCTGCCAGTTGGCCAATCCATCTCGTTGGGGGTCTTCCTCTTTTTCTCTTGACACTCCACCTTACCAAATATAATATCCTTCTCCAGTGACTGGTCCCTCCTGACAATATGTCCAAAGTATGAGACACAAAGTTTGGCCATCTTGGCCTCTTAGGAGCACTCTGGCTGCACTTCATCCAGAACGCATCTATTGATTCTTTTGGCAGCCCATGGCACTTTCAATATTCTCCTCTAACACCATAACTCAAAGGCATCAATTATTTTATGATCTTCCTTATTCACTGTCCAGCTTTCGCATGCATATGAGGTTATTGAAAATACCATGGCTTGGATCAGGTGCACCTTAGTCATCAAGCTGACATCTTTGCTCTTCAATACTTTAAAAAGGTCTTGTGCAGCAGATTTGCCGAATGCAATACGTCATATGATCTCTTGACTGTTGTTTCTGTGAGTGTTGATAGTTGATCCAAGAAGAATGAAGCCCTTAGGAGCTCATTTTACCAGTTGTCTGGCTGGAGATTTCACAGAAAGTAAGAGTCAGGGCTAGGTTTGGACGTTTGTTGTTGGTGGTATATGTGGTAGAGTTGGTGCCAACTCATAGCGACCCTGTATAGGGTTTCTGAGGCTGAAAATCTTTACAGGAGCAGAAACCCTCATCTTTCTCCCATGGAATGAATGGTAGTTTCGAACTGCTGACCTTGAGGTTAGCAGCCTGACTCATAGTCTGTGTGATTCTAAAGCTGCAGGCTCCATGCTGCAAAATGCCAATTTCACCCTCTGGGTCTACCTAGCCCTCCTACCCTGACCCAAAGCTAAGGCATACTGCTTTGGGACCCTTTGGCTCCATCTTGTATTTCTTTAGATGGACACATGCCCAGAAATTTTTTATCTCTCCTGCAGGGAGTCCTGGTGTAGCTCTGTGGGATAAAGCATTGAACTGCAAGGTCCATTTGAACCACAAGGTTGGTGGTTCAAACTTACCAGCTGCTCCTTGGAAACCCTAAACAGGGTCACCGTGAGTCGGAAGTCGACTCTTAACAACAACTACACCAACCTGTGGTGGCAAGTTTACCTGCTCATCTTCTTCTCCAGAAGTTTCTTCTCTGTGCTCCAACTGAAAGCTGATTCTCCCATAAGGACATGCTTCCCTTGTGGCCCTTTCTCATCCACAGGAACTAGGGATTTGGAAGAGGGAAGGCACCACTTTCCTAATCATTGCTATTTTCAGTCATCTTCAGACCTCCAACTTTGAATCTAAGCTCATCTTTGAGGATTTGAATGCCTCATCAGAACTTTCTCAAGCACTACTAACAAGTTTCACACCCCAACACATGAATCTGGACCCCCTTTCCATAAATGATTTTGTCCTTCACTCATGGTTAATCAGCCCATCCGTACCACACATCTAATGGTTATTGCTGTGTGCCTTCAAATCGATTCTGACTCACAGTGGCCCAATATGACAGAGCAGAACTTCTCCCATAGCATTTCCTAGGTTGTAATCCTAATGGATTATAACCACTGGACCAATAAACAACATTCTTATCAACGGAGAAAAGATTGAAGTTGTCAAGGACTTCATTCTTCTTGGATCAATCATCAATACTCATGGAAGCAGCAGTCAAGAGATCAGATGACAAACTGCATTTGGCAAATCTGCTGCACAGGAGCTTTTTAAAGTGTTGAAGAGCAAAGATGTCAGCTTGAGGAGGTGCGCCTCACCCAAGCCATGGTGTTTTCAATAACCTCATATGGATGCGAAAGCTGGATAGTGAATAAGGAAGACTATAGAAGAATTGATGCCTTTGAATTACTGTGTTGGAGGAGAAAACTAAAAGTGCCATGGCTGCCAAAAGAATCAATAGATCTGTTTTGGAAGAAGTGCAGCAAGTGTGCTCCTTAGAAGCCAAGATGGCCAAACTCCGTCTCTCATACTTTGGACATATTGTCAGGAGGAACCATTCACTGGAGGAGGATATCATGTTTGGTAAGGTGGAGTGTCATAGAAAAAGAGGAAGACCCCCAACGAGATGGATTGGCCAAGTGGCAGCATCAATGGACTCAAGTGTGGCAACAGTAGTGAGGTTGGCCCAGGATTGGGCAGTGTTTCATTCTGCTGTGCATAAGGTCACTATGAGTCGGTGTTGACTCAATGATACCTAACAATAACAACAATCTTTATGGTTGCAGCCTGCCACATCTTTCTCCCACAGAGATGCCAGCCTTTCAGTTGGCAGCCAAGTGCTTGACCATTGTGCTATTAGGGTTCCATATCACCTTATCATGTACCAATGTCCCAAAGAACAATTTAATTCAGAGGTCAATTAGCATTAACATGGTTGATCAAGCCCAGAAGCTGTTCTCAAACAGGAAACACCCAAAAGAAGCTCCTTTAAGAGTTGCTTGTTGTTAGGTGCTGTCAAGTTGACTCTGACTCTTAAGGACCTTCGCTGTTTCTTCTCGTTTTCAGTCATGCTCTATCAGCAAGTGAAGGCCCCAAAAGCTTTGCTTTTTCCACGTCAGTAAGGTCTACTCCACTTTGAGGAGTCAGCTCTTCCTCAGTCATAATTTGAAAGTATTAAGACGAGGGGCTCATCTTCCAGCAGTAGATCAGAAAAGTTTTCAGGTGGCTAATACCAAAGCCGTGGAATGCCTATTTCTTCTTCCTAGAGTCCTGGTGTGGCACTGTAGGTTAATGCGCCAGAAAGCAAAGCTGTTTGAACTGCAAGGTCAGCGGTTCAAGCTCACCAACCACTCCTAGGAAACCCTATACAAGGTCTCCATGAGTCAGAACTGACTCGACGGTACTTAACAGCAGCAGCAGACTGTTCTTAGCCGGGATCTTCTCTGTCCACCATAGTGACCGTGCTGGTATTTGAAACACCAGTAGCATAGCTTCTAGCATCTTACCCAAACATAAGCCACCACAGGACAACAGACTGACAGATATATGAGGAAGCAGCTCTTGCATAAGGTTTTTAAAAAATAGTCAAGGGGGTGATGTCACAACAGAACCAAAGGAAATCAAAAGGATAATAACAGAATACTATGAAGAGTTGTACTCCAACAAATTTGAAAACTTAGAAGAGATAGATACATTTTTAGATAAACACGACCTACCTAAACCTACACACAGTGAAGTAGAAAACCTGAACAGACCCATAACAAAAGAAGAAATTGATCAGGTCATTAAAAGACTCCCAACCAAAAAAAGTCCAGGCCCAGACGGCTTCACTGGTGAATTCTACCAAACATTCAAGGAAAAGCTGTCACCAATTATACTCAAATTATTTCAGAAGATAGAGGAGGATGGAAAACTTCCTAATACATTTTATGAAGCAAGCATAACCCTCATACCAAAACCAGGGAAGGACATCACTAAGAAAGAAAATTATAGACCAATATCCCTCATGAACACAGATGCAAAAATTCTCAACAAAATCCTAGCTAACAGAATGCAGCAACACATCAAAAAGATAATACATCATGATCAAGTGTGATTCATATCAGGGTTGCAAGGATGGTTTAACATTAGAAAAACGATCAACGTTATCCACCATATAAATAAGAAAAAAGAAAAGAACCACATGATCATATCGATTGATGCAGAAAAGGCATTTGAC